GGTTTAGAGTTTAGAGGTTCTGGTACACATTATTATGAGAGTTGGCAGCAGTAGAGGAATGCCTTACGAGGAAGATCTAAAAAAGGCAGTATTGGGAGTCTACATGTCACGGTACAAATAAGGTCTTACTTGAGAGAACAAAGCTCAGCATGCCCCACACGGGGGAGCCGGTGCTACTCCGAAGTACAACTGGCCAAGCATGCATGTACATCACGGGATATCAGATGACCAGCTTTAGAGTTCTGATCCGAACCGCCAATGAGTTGCCGTTGCTGTGAAGAGGGCATCGTACAATCGCAGCTCCGTGAGAGTATGTGAGCACCTTTACCCAGGACCTGCACATTTGACAAGTAAAACTCTTACGTGAAGGATTGATTGTGCTAGCAGCTTCCATGGGGCCGCTTGCACGCAGGCACTCAGGAAGCTGCGCCAGTTGGCTGCAAATAGTGGCTGGTAAGTTGTCACAAGCTCAGGTTTTGCCAGATCAGGTCTTTTTGTTCTTGGTTCTTGGCAGCTTACAACAAATGTTTGAAGCAGTTTGCAGGGTCCTTGGAAATGACGATGAAGAGTTGCCATGCCAAGCTCGTGTGGCATGCAAAGGGGTTTGGGGCTTAGAGTATGGAATGAGGGAATGGAAAAGAGCATGAAAACTGAAACAGATTTATTTGGGATCGCGTTGCCCCAATGGGCTTGGCAATTCTGAAAATTGGAAGCTTCGAGGCTGAGCAGGACTGATTCTTAGGGTTTAGGGTTTAGGAAGCCCAACATGCCCGGCACAAGCGTTTTGCAGGTGCTTTTGTTGTTTTTCCTGTGCCGGCTCTGCATATGCTTCCAATTCTTTGTAACGACAATTTTCGAAAGCATTTAGGACCTAGGCGGCTAAACATGTATTGGCGGATGGAAATGTCTGCTGCTTTGAAGCTAAGAATGAAACACGGCCAAAGACCAGCCAGCATCCTGAGGCCTGACCATGAAACATGCAACCCAATATAACCCCAATATAACCCATTATAGTAGTTTCCATTTTCTTTTCCATTATCCCAATATAACCCCAATATAACCCCAATATAGTAGAATGCCTCATCCTTAAACCCAGGAACGATGATATTCGCCATGATCAACTCTCTAGCAGATCTCCTCTGGGCGTTGCAAGTGGTCTTCCTCATAGCACCTAGGATTGAAGAAGTTTGAGTTCGGGGATCTCGGGTATAGTGACTGGCTGGTTGTTGGGAAAGGCAGCCTCGCAGGCATCTTACTTACAAAACTAGCGCAGAGGCGATGCCTGGTCACGCTCTGCAATGGAATCAGTCAGGAGGTACTCACGGTTAGGACTGAAGGTCAACCTTGGGGTGATGGGTCGGTGCTTGAAACAGAGCTGAGCAAGCTCAAGGATGAAAGAGGAAGGGATAGGTATAATATACTATGACATAGAATAACATACAATAATGTGGTATGACGTGGTATAATGTTCATAGCATCTCATTGACGGACTCTGGCCGATCAGATGTTGCAGTCTTGCTCGTTCTGCAACATTCGGGTAAGATAAAATGGAAACTGCTATAGTATATTGAGGTAATCTAGGATTTTATTTTGGGATAATGGAAAACGAAATGGAAACTGCTCCATGTTTCGGCCGCGTACAAGACCATGATATGTTTCCTACTTCTAGTGGCTGGCTCTTATGATACAAGGTATACGGAGCAATACTCATCCAGAAGAGACTAGATCAGGCCAAGGCCAGGGAAGTAGATGGCTGGGTGCAGGTTCCCGATGTTCTGAAATAAGTCTGCCACACGAGTCACATTTACCAGTTCTGCCAACCACTGCACCGCAAAAAGCGCGAGCGAAAACCACAAAGCCGCTCAGAATCCAAATTGTTGGTGCCTGCCAAAGAGCAGCAACTTAACCCTGGCCCATGCAGAGACAAACTTGTCTCCTGCACGGATTACCCTCCCTGCTACGCCTGCACAGCATGATCTCTAGGTTCATCCGTTCGACTCGAAAATGCTCAACCAGCAGGAAACCCTGAGACTCTGACCTGCGGGATTTCTGCAGGTCTTCGTCTTCAGCCTGGTGTTCAACAATGTTCCTGGGACGATCAAGTAATCAGCTTCCCCTGAATCATGAACCTCCCCACCCCAATCACAATGAACTGCCCCCAAAACATGCTGGCGCGATATTGCAAATATCCGGTCAGGGTTCTATTGGTAGGGTGGGTGGAATGACTAGAAGTGACTCAAAGAACTTGGGAACATCAGCATGTTGAGCCTCCAGCAGTTCCGTGGTTCCTTGCGCATGCAATTCTGTAGCGGTTGAAGCATGTACCCATGGTAGGATGGGATACTTCGCCCAAGGTGGTCCTTGATTTGAGCCATCCCTGCAAACCTGCCACCAGGAACTATCATTGCCAATATGATTTACAAGTACATTTACTGCTATGATCATCATTTTTACTATTGTTACCAGTATGATGAGTACTGTCGTGATCATTATTATTACTATTTTGATGACTGTTATTACTTCCAAGCAGGCCGTGGCAGCTCATTTCGATGCACTGCAGGCAGCGCACAGCATGGACAGGTATTTTTGGGGTGCTCACAAGACTGAGAGGGGCTTTGCGAAGAGTCCCAATAATACGGAGAATGAATTTTGAGCTTCCCATTGATGGAAGCCCCATGTAGGTAGTATGTAGTAACGTTAACAGTAGCGAGAAAACTAGCTAGAAGGATAATGTCAGACCACATGCAATGGTCGAGCGCCAGTCAGCTGCAACCTGAATCCTAGCACTTGATTAATTTTGGGGGGACCCCCCCCGCCAGAATAAGATATTGAGGGCACCAGATTAAAGGAATGACTGGGGCTCCTGGATTTCAATTAAAAAACAGCAGGAATGCACTCCTGCGTCATTGGGGCTCTTGGACATCGTGAAAAATGAATAGGAATGTCGTGAATATCTCTATATTATCAGGATTGGGTTCCAAAAAACATCTTTAAATCTAGTCCCTTTTCCTCATGCGAAAAGCCGCCTAAGTGTAGCTAGTCTTTGGAGCCTAGTTCTACCCAAAAAATTCTTTATGTATGGTCCCCATTATTAATGTAGTGCTCGGATTATCGCTTGGTCTGAAGCAGCGGCAGCTCAAGAATGTCTTGTAAACTGCCCTGCACCGAATCAAGCAATCCGTGACATGTTACAGACTTGAAGCATACAGTATGTGCTGCTATCCTATATTACCTTTCACTGCTGTCATCCCAAGACATAGTTTCGGTATAGTGGCGGTCACCATTCCTACCATTGTTGCCTGGATGTGAGGCTAAGTGAGGGATGATAAAAAAACCCCGTAATCAGGTTTTAAAGGGAGCCCGTCCTTGAAGTCAAAACCNNAAAACGATAAGAGTAAAAACAAACGATATCAGGATTAAGGGTCATTTAAATGGGTGGGGGGTTTTCATCACCCCTCAAGTGCCAACAACCCCCAGGACTTGCTTCTAACAAAAAACAAGTTCTCTAACAGGACATCACGTATCTGGGCTAGATTTGGGACCCTCAGTTATGTAGCACACCCGTTTTGACAACCTCCGCGTCGCGCCAGCTCGACAACCCGGAGCACAGTGAGAAGCTAGCTGCTGCGGGGGTGGTCAACGAGCAGTACGGCTCACTGACAGGCCTCCCATAGCCAGGGCCACTTCCTTGGAAACTCCCAGGACCTCAATGTACCCTTAAATAGGTGTACATGGTCATATGAGCCGGGGTCAAAATTAC